CAGGAGATTGAGGCCTATCAAGGGACAGTCAATGCTACACGTGAAGAAGATTACATCACAAAGTCGACTAATTCGAGGGCAGTCGGTACCTCCCAACTAAGGTAGTTATCTCTATTCAATAGCAAGTTGAGTGAGATGACAAGCCCCTTGAATGTCGAGTCTCATATATAAGATGGTGACATCATGATAAGAGACAAACGAGCGGACTCATGCAAGACAATGATATCCCGAGTGTTCCCAACTGGGTCTAGATTGAACACAGAGTTTCGAGAATTCAAAGTGTTCTACTTCTATATGACTTTTGCCTAGCCCTATGATAGACATCGCAGTCTTTCTGTCCCGTATCCTATGCACTGTTCGCGAGGCATGTCTGGGAAGCTCTTGCAGAGGCAGTAACCCTACCCAGGTGAAAGACGTAGCCACTCAAGCCCTGGAAATCGTGAGTCTTGGAGGATTTATTGCAAAATTATTGCACTATTCAGTAGAGCATTGTGGTATGTGCAAAAAGGTTCAACCTGGACGTTGAAGTCATGAGAAACGTGTGATACTGATGAAACAAGGTGATTGTCGATTGCAGCCGCGTTTGAATGAATCACACCAGGTACCTACGCTATGAATTGCTTTCGTTTCACCTGAACCTTTGATATGAGAACCCAGCAGATAGTTCAGGAGGTAGAAAACATGTGCTACAGACGCAAGCTGCAGTACACGGAACCCGGGGTGTAAATTTTGGCTGCAAACCCTGCTGTTACTGTTGCGAGTATATAAAGAGATAAGTATAAGAGAAGCAGATCAAGACGGCAAGCTTTATTCATCAGTGAAACATTGCACCGAGCATGATTCTCTTCAGATGAAGAGGCAATACCAAACCTCTTAATGTCAACGCATATTAATTGTGAAGTGTTGATATGTATTGTGCATGTATGACCCGAGAGCACCTCAGGAAACATGGTGATACGCACTTTCGACTAGAACTACTTTGACTTGGGAGTTAAATTTCGTCACAATATGGTATGAGAATGTCCGATGATCCAATCTTAAAGTCCTTGGCCCGTCACTCCAATTATTTCTAGCAAGAATCTGGGTGCTCAGAATAGGCTTTTGAGAAGACTTGAAATGTCTAAGATATTCTATTAAGACGCCTAAGTGAGTTAGGTGCCGATGAAAATGCTCAAACTCAGATGTCTAAAGCTGCTTGCTAAGTGCATGTGATATAAGAAATGTCGGTACTGGTGAGCCAAGTACCTTTATCTCAATGAGACTAGAAGAGACCAATGTCGATCGGAACAAAGATTAAGCTGAAGGTGCAAGTGGTATGCTTCCAATCTATTATCGGCCCATAGAGATCAGAAGTCTATTCGGCGTTAGGAACTGAGGCCGGCGCCGTGACACCTTCTTCGTCTCTCTTGGTGATTCCCTCCTTCTTCTTGTCTCGCTTGTACAAAAAGGCCACCGTAGCGGTGATCAGTGCTTGGGCACCGAAAGCAACAGTCGAGAAAATGAAGCCCTTCTTGAATTTGGGCGAATCAACTTGAGGGTACGTCAGGATCGGAACCCAGGCATTAAAGGCATAGCCCAGTGAATTCATGATTCCTATGACAATTGCACGCTCCTCGGCATCGGCGCCGCAAATCTCGTTCGTCCAGCTCATGCTGAGTGGTCCGTACGGTACGGAAGCGCGCTGGAGAAGAAACGCAAACCACTTCAACCCGTCTGGTACATTCCAGATGGCGAGGATCAAGGCAGCGAAACCACCGAGGAAGGTGGATATCGACATGACGCTGGCACGATGGCGGATCGCGTCGGAGAGGATGGCGAATGACACCGTAAGGACCAGTTGAATAGCTGAAGCCGCTGTTGGAATGATATTCTGATACCTATGTTAGCTACGTGATACCATAGACCAACCATGAGCAAAGTCAACTTACAATCTTCTCCACAGACTCGCCCTTGGATTTGAGCCAGAGAGAGAAGGGATTCACACTACTGGAAGGCCCAATGTTGATGAAGATGATGTACAGAATGGTCAGGAAGTAGACATGCCAGCGACCAAAGATTCGCTTGAACGCAGAACGGCCCAATTTGGTTCGCGGAGCACGTCCGACACTCTCCATCCGCCTGCGGGCAAGTTCACGGTCCTAGGTGATTGTTAGTAACTGCGGTCTCTCAAAATTAGTGAAGTTGGTTTCACTCACATTCTCAGTCAAGTAGAATGCTCGTGTATTCTCCGGGAGATCGGGCAGGAAAAAGTATCCAGCAATGCAAATTGGCAGACTGATGATTCCATCCATGATCTGTAAGTAGGAGGCCCAGTCAGCACGCGGTTTCGCAGGAGTCGTCTCCACCAAAGCACGCCATATGGGATCGAGGGGGTGCTTACAAATAGCCACTTCCAACCTGCTAAGCTATGGACGCCGTTGAGTCCCTTATAGACGCCAGCTTGCAAATAGCCCGAGAACATGCTCGCCGCAGCCGAAGAGGCGTGGAAGATGCAGGCTCGCTTGCCGAGCTCGGAGGGCTTATACCAGGAGCCCAGGATCGTGTGAGCGGCCGGATAAAAGATTGACTCTGCCAAACCCACGAAGAAGCGGATTGCAATGACGTGGTTTGAGGTCTTTGCTGCCGCCAGACAGAACGTCAGAACTGTCCAGAGAAGCTCACAGGAAGGCACCCAGATGGACGGGCGGACTTTTGTGAGAACGATCTGCGAGGGGATCTGGCCCACGACGTAGCCGACGGTCCACGCTGTGTCGATGAGATTGATCTCGTTTCCGTTCATTGCGAGATCTTCCTTCATGCCGCTGACGAAAGCATTGCTGATGTTCGTCTGGTCGAGGTTTTTGATAAAGTAGCCGAAGCTCAGCATCGTTATCAAGAAGACGTCGAGCTTCTGGATGAATACGCGCTCCTCCTGCGACCGGCCCGGTTCGTAGTCCCAGATATAAGACCACCATGGCGCTTTCTTCTTCTCGAGTACTGCAGAGTTTTGTCCGTCTGAAGAAAACTCGTCCACCGTTACTCCCTTGGGAGACGCGGACGCGTATTCCTGCTCTGACCCCATGCCGAGCAGAGGTGAGAGCTCTAGTGAATCCGTAGGGTTAGTCACTTACAACGGAAAGACAGAGAGCAGCTCAACAGATGGTGAATTGAACAGCCGCAACTTTCAAAACCACAACGTTTTTTGATTTTGGGGGATCCCGTACCTGATTTATGTATCTCGCTTCCTGATAAACTGGCCATCGCGCTACGCTAAGGGAGGTTTCAAGTTGGCCACAATCTCACGGATACTGGAGAACTGCCCAGATAACACTCTGGGAGTCGTGTGGGTTACAACGGGGTCCGATGCTTGATGATGTGCTGCGAAGCGCTGATGATTCGCTACCCCTTGGCGTGGGGTGTGTCGCCATCGCGGGGTCCAGTGTCGTGATTCGGCCGTCGCTGCCTCAAAAGCGCCCTCAATGCCGTCCATCTTCTCTGTGCAAGGTGTCTTAGCATCGGAGTCTTGCCGACTAGACTCTTCTTATTGCCAGGGAGACAATGTAGGTGTCAATCTCATTACTTACTTTATTCGATCCCGCGGAGCACTGCCGATACGGAACATTATTCCCGGCAGTTAGCTACTAGTGACGGATGGCTCCGTTGGACATTGTCGCATTGCAATTTCGTTACAAAGAAAAGCGAGATGAATCAGAATAGTATACTGAAGCCTAGCTCTCGCACTTATGGCACATCCTTTCGGAATACCGATCGGCACCGGTGGACGTTTGACGGGCCGGACGCCGGTCCTGTCCCACAAGGGCCGGGCCTCCGGATTTTGTGTGCCCCATAATTGACTCCCGGTCTTGGGAACGATGCATGCGCCATGCCCTCAGTGCCCCTCCCGGATACGGTACCGGCCCGTCGGGTCGTTACGTAGTCGAGGAGTTCCGAGCCCGCTCGTCGGGATTAGCATCCCAGAAGGCTTGAAAAGTGATTCTACTGGGTTGACACCTACACGTTGGTGCTTTGGGTTAGTTGCCTTGGCTGCAGATTTGCACGATATCTCGACATGGCCAGCAAAATACCTGTAAGCCAGCCGACAAGTGGGCGGACGGCATGCTTTTCAACTTTCTGTGACTGCCGCCCATACTTTTCAGCATCTGTGGTTGCTCAAGGCTTCATTCATGTGTTGCTTCAAAGATCTCGCTCCTTTGCTGTGATGGTCCGCTCTGATGCTCTTCGTCAACAGGGTCAACAGGCACTGTACTGAGTTAGAAAGATGACATGCCACGAAACTGGTGCTGGAAAACCGAAATTAGAGGGCTATTGTTCGGCAAGATCGTGCCGGCAGGAATGTGCGAGGATGATTATGAGCTGGATTTCGTGAAGTCTGTCCTACTAGAAGAATCAGTTGCTTGTAACTCTAGTAGCGTCGACGTAGGTGAGTTCTTTAGGCCGTTGGATCATTCCAGCCATAATTGCGTATATCTGGTGTAAATACGGTTGAGTGGGAAGTATATAACAGATGTGTGAGCTGTTCGCGTTGATGACCGTGTCGTATGGGAAGGAATGGAAGACGGAGATGCGTATATCCGAAGTGCATTATTAGACTTGATATTGGTAAGTGTATAGTTGGTGATAGACTCGCGCTCTAGCCTATGCACGACCTACTTCGAGAGTTCAAATCGGCCAAATCGCGCTGTATATCTACGGTTTCGGGATCATGTATAGACCGGCTGAAGTAAAGTAAAATATGTAACTATCAGATCTATGCGTGTTCAATTGAACAAGAAGAAGAAAAGGCCAAAAGGAAAAAAAGAAGAAAAAAGACACAAAAAGGCATTGTTCCAACATTGACGATAAGTGACGTCCTCAGAGAAATGTGTGAATAATAAAATCAATGTGGATTAGAGGGGAACAAGAAGGGCATTATATATTCGACTAGGTATGGATGAAGGATAGACCAAGGCTTCATGGGGAGCCGTAATGTAGCTACTTTGCCACTTAGATGCAAAGAAAGGCTATGAATATGCAAGCCAACCATGCCAAGCATTTCTCATTCGTTCTGCTCTCGATACTGATATGTACGCAGTATTAGCGAGTCTGTCCTGTAATTCTTTGAACTTGGCCGTAGGAGCCCCTTTGTCGAAAAGTAAGTCTAGCTCAAGATACGACAGCTTCTTTGTCTCAGGTAGTCGAAAATAGCACCAAATAAGACACAAGAGAGCCGTGATCGCGTAAACCAGACAAGATTTACCAGCCAGGTTCCAAGCGGTTGGGTTCAGAAGCTGTGGCGCAATAACGTTGTTGATGATGGTGAAGACATTGTAGACTACCCTCGCCAGGGCAACGGTCTTGACTCTTAGACGTGTTGATGGAATTTCTGCCACGATAACATAACAAGCTGGACCGATGGTCATGTTGTAAGTAAAGGTCATCAAAATGATAAGAGAGCCGAGGGCCCAATTCATTGAAGGATGGCCGTCCAGAACAATCGATAGGATACCACCAATGGTAAGGATGATGACTGCCGCTATCAACCCAGCAAGGTAAAGCCTACGCCGGCCAATCAGTGATAGCAACATCCAGGATATCATACCGCCAATGATGCCGAGACCATACATTCCTGTGGCGAGACTGAATGATTTGGAGGATTCGAAGCCAGCTTGTTCCAGAAAATAAGGAGCATATCCAGTCAGGGTGGCGCCGCACAAGGCTTGACAGGACCACGTCATGCAGCAAACTTCAGTCCTGCGTCGGTTCGAACCTTTGAACAAATCAAAGAAGCTCGCGCCACCATAGCCCAATTTTTTCTCTGTCGCGTTAACATGCTGCATAACAGCGAGCGTATCGTCGATATTGAGGTTCTTGCCGCTTGTGAGTCTTTGTAGCGACTGTCGTGCTTCTGAGAGTCTTTCGTGTCGGACTAGCCACCCTGGTCACAAGCAGTCAATAAATAGCCAAACTTGTTTAAACCTGTTTGGATGTCTCTTACAAGGACTTTCCGGGGCAAAGTAAACGACAAAGAGCAATGGAAGCGCCCAAGCCCATTGTAGCGCAAATGGTAACCGGTATGACCATTGGGACGTGTTGTCGATGAGTGATCTCAGAATGCCAGTGCCCAGTAGCTGGCCAATGAGCCAACACATATTCACATTGCTGAGAACGACGGCTCGTACAGCTGAAGGCACAATCTCAGCAGCGTAAGTCGCCCCCAAGGTCTGGATGACTCCCCATGATAGGCCTGATGTTGGAGTTGTAAGCTGAAAGACCAAAGCATGTCTGAGTAACCAAGAAATACACCCAAGACGCTTACTCACCACAAAGGGCTTGGGAAGAAAGTAGTACAGCGATGTTCTGAGCAAAGAAAGCTGGGGAAATGGCTAGACACAACCATCCAAGAGCAATCATCATCATTTTGCGATACCCGATAGCATAAGTGATGTACCCATGGGCAAGGAGCCCAATGATCTCGCAAGTTACTGCAGCATTCTGAATTCCCATCTGCCACAATGGCGAGATCTCATAGTCTTTGTCCTGTATGGAGTTGGCGCCCGGCAGTCTTGGTTCGCCATATTTGCGTCTGAACGAAGGAAACGCAATGAATCCGGAAATAAGCGACTTATCGTAGGCCTCCATTACGACTGTCAGAAACAGGAGCAGTGACCAGATGATGGCTTTGGGAAAGTGACGGAAACTTCCGAATAGACTTATGTCCTTCTCGGCGGCGAGACCACGATGGATGCGCGCACCCGTGCCGTCCGAACTTGTTGAAGCACGAGGAAGCCATAGCACACTATTGATTGTGTTATTGTGAACATTTGATCTTTGACGTTCGAGTTCCTCTCCGTCCAAGGGGTTCGTGTCTGCGATAGATGGTTCTTGGTGCGAGGCAGTTGCCTTGGGGGTTATGGATATCAGAACGACCTCATCTTTGCTGGTATTGTCAACTGAACCAAACATGTTGACAAAGTTCCAAAGCGCCTGAGATAGTAAAACAAAGTTGGTTGGAAAGTGAGCATTGGATGTTGCATCTTCGATCGTGCTGTCGGTCAGATACGATTTTGTATGAAACCACAGCTCGTGTTCATGGCTCCACTTCAAGCTGGTGAAAGTTGCGTTTCGGGCTTCATCCTGGGCTATCCGACCATTTCCCCAGACTATCCCCTGATCTTCCCCAGGGGCAAGTCTCTTTGGTTGACTCCTAGCCTCTGTCGTGGTAAGTTTGCGCTAACTTAGTACAAGCTAACCCACCGACACGGATCAGCACATACCGCGCCGTGTACGCCAAGTTTCCTTCGCGATTTTCAGCAGAACTTGGCAAATACAGTAATTGGTTAAATGGGTTCTACAGCCACTCCGTGAACAATCATTGCTTAGGATCCCCTGTCAGGCTATGCAGACAGTCGAATCAGAAGGCCGTACCTTGCTCTCCTGCCTTGGATATATGTATCTTCACCGGTACCCTAATGAGGGCGACTTGAACTTTAGTTCTGTAGCGCTGACAGGATTCGGAGGATGGTCTTGAAAGCAGAGCTTTGGTACAGGGATCTTGTACTAGCCAAAGGCCATCAATATCGGTAAGAAACAACCTGGATCGATGCCAAAGAAATCGTGGGAATGGACCTCCCTGATACTTGCAGTTGGGATATTCGGCGCCACCTGTTTGAGAATCTTAGCTCGAGTCGATAACCATGCTTCCCTTCAGCCTTTTTCTCGTATAAGCGATTTCACTAGTCACATATGGAGCTTGTCACGCATGGGATAATGGACCTTATAGGGTTAAGGCCTGCAGCCACGCTGGGCTATCGATGCATCCCCCTTTCCGTGGAAACCATCCTGAGCTGAATCTATGTGTTCCGTTCAGCCAAATCCCAGCAACGCCACAAACGCCCATACCTCGTGTCAAGAAGAACAAGCATTCAATGTCTGCTGCCATATCAAAATGTAAGTCTGAAAGGGGTCGCTAATTTCTTATGCCCTTAACTTTTTAATGATAGTAGCGATTATGGTAAGTCCTTCTGCCTATCTTTGGTTTGCTCTTAGTCAACGGCAATGCCTAATTACTACGCAGAGAGTTTCATAAAGAAGAACAAGCATCCGCACATGATATTTCACGGTCTCCTCACGTAACTCGACGCATGGCACTGCCATAACTTTCCCTTTTATGACCTCTCTTTTGGTGGGAAACCTAGCGTCGACACTCGACCAATGATGTCGAGTTCTCGACTTGTCCCTGGTCCCTTTTCATTGAAAACATGACAGGATGTCAAGCGCTCGAATGCAAAGGCCAGAGTCTACGCCTGTTACTTGAGCTAGTGCGTGGTCTTACCACATCCCGTTTAGTCAACTACTGCGTGCTCTCTTAGCTCAAATTTCAACTCGGTGGCAACGAATCATTCTGGAACAGAAGTGTCACGCCCAATTAGGTACTTGGGCTAGCTTTGGCTCTCTGGGGATGGTGTAGAGAGATGGAACCACTTTGACGTATTGCTTGAGTCAGCCCCACCTACTTCCGCGAACTTGGTTTTCGGGAGAGATAGGCGGAAAGCCCTATGGGAACTAGGGATCCGGCTTTGCTTCAAGCAACCGTGTTTCTAACGGCTGGCGCAAATTTCAACATCCTTTGAGTGTGGTGGCCTGTACACAGTGAAGTCCAATCTTAATCATCCTGTGTGGGTAATGTCAAAAGACTCGAAGTGTGCTGCGAATTAGTCCGTTTTTGTCAGTGTACTACATACATCCAATGGGAGCTTGAATATTCAGGGTCGAAGCTGAAGACTACCACCGCGACACAGCGCCGTGTTTTCCAGCTACCCCGGCCATGCAGCGGATGCCTCAAGGACCAATTTTTTATTGTGCGGTCCTTCGCCGGTCTTTGCCACTCAGTAGGCGTCTGAACCCAGGCCTGGCGAGCCGCGCTCACCATTATCGCTCAGCAAAACGCTACATAGAAAGCCTACGGCGTCATGGTGAGTCTCCTCGGTAGAACGCATAGTGTCACGAGTTATGGCACACAGCAATAGGCATACGGAGTGTGGTAAAGTAGCTTAACCCATCGAAGTGGAGATAGACAAAAGAGAAAAGTCTATATACAGGTTGTATGTGATATATACGTGATACAGCACCTGACGGGCACTTTGTGGATTGCGATTCATATCCCTGTTACGTGACACATACATAGCCTTAGCCAATCAGTCAACCTTAGCCTGCCTTACATTGGCTTCGGCTTGCTTTGCGCGTCGCTTTGCTTCTAAACTGTCCTATGCTTCCTAGGAGAGCAACCGCTAGTCGAAACCCCTTGAAACCTTCTCCTATATCTCTGACAATAGAGCCTCGAATTACTTAGAATCGGTAAATGGAATAGGCTAAATTACTTTATACCGCGTCTCGTATCATAAATCCTTAGATAACATACGGCCAGTCTACTACTTATATTAGCAATCCAAACAAAAGAAGGGGCAATGCTTACCCCAGGATAGCTCGAGCTAGATAATGGAGTTAAGTAGGATGCTACTGCGGACCCACTCCACTAGAGAACGAAAGGCACTCATGTTCAGCCCGGCCAGGCAGCGAGTGGTTGGGCGTTGCCATGAGAGGTAATGGTAGATAGAGAATGTTGCCTCTTGTGCATATCCTATGGTTTGCTTCCGCAATCATGTTGGGGAGATTGCTGGGCTTTTCTTATTTTTGCTGTCGCTTGATGCGCTTGGAAGCTGCGAACGACTACGCCTGAGGAGAGTCGGTGTGTTGCTTGTTAGTCCCCCAACGTTCGTCACCTTCAACGTTCAATATATTGCAGTTGTGTTATATTGCAGTTACGTCATATTGCAGTTGTGTTTTGCTGCTGCAAGTGTGTTCTGTTGCAGTTATGTTATGTCTCAGTTAAGGCTTGTCCCCACCCGTCACAACACGCATACCTAACAGAAACCTAAGAAATGTAACACACTATGCTAAATGCACGAGGGAAACCGATGGACGACGCGGATCTGTCCCTGACTTTCTGCAACCAGGCCTGCATTGGGACCCTCGAAATGCAGTACGACAAGCGCCTGAGCTAACAGGCGGGGCGATCCCAGGGTTCTTTCCGAGTATCAGCTTCTTCGCCTTCCGAAACACAAGCATTCTGCAGTAAATCAAAGGCCTGGTTCCCAGACACGTAGCGGTGCTGCTTCCTAGATAGCGTCCTATACCTCGCTTTCCGATAGTAGTGGCAGGCCGATCTAGTTATTATACAATACGTTATCAATATCTTCGATATTCACCTCTAGCAGCGGGGGGCAGAAATCTCCTTAAAGAGTACTACTTTCTTTTCGAAAGTTGCGGTAATATAAGACGTGTTAGGTCTTTCGAAATCAGGCGTATTAGTCGGGGCTAATACTATCTATTCTAGGCCCATTTTGCAATCTTCTAAAGTAACTAAAGCCACTCCGCCGCTACTTCCACTACTTTACGATATACTTCTTAAAGCGCTTTCTTTTGATGCGCCCTTTTCTATCACGTACCTCTCTATATACCACCCAGCTCTTCTCTACCTATTGTTCGCTATAGTCCCGGCGGAGTCGTATCGTCCCAGCCAGGATGTCTGCGCACGACTCGTTCCAGCGGTTGAGAAGGCCCCAGCAGTTGCCCCTACGTATCGGTCAATCGCTGCCTTCGTTCTTGACCTTTACAGTTGCGGCAGGCATTCTAGGATCGTCTAAGTAAACTTTCCCTGATCTATAGCTTTCTACTTCCGTTTCTCCTCTCTCTACCGCTCGGCTACGACGAGGTATAAACATGTCGCTATATGTATATAGTTGGAGCTATGGTCGATATTATTCTCTACTTCGCAGCTGATCGTCCGTTTAACGAGGCCTATAGCGACTAGATAGAAGTCGATAATTGTCTAGTGATCTCCTTCCTTGTTTGTGACGGTTCCCGGCTGTAGTCGACTTGAAAGGTTCATAAAACTGAAAAAGCTAAGTTCCGAGGAAAATATGCGACCCTCTATCAAAAAGCTAGTCGCGCAATCATTCTCGGGAAAAACTGCAAACGACGCATAATGGCAAAGATTTATGGCAACAGTCTAAGCCGAAATTTATGTTTATCTTATGATTCATCGGCGAGAAGAACTACTGCTAACGGGGTCGTCCTCTTGATCTACGCCTGCCACCACGCTATGTTCAACTACACGAAACGTGCATATTGACTGGACCAAACACCATCCTCAATTTGTCACGATGTCAGCTTACCATCGTCGCAAAGTCATTTGAGAGTCCAGACTATCGGATGTTAAGGCACAAGAACACTCGTGCCGCAATACCGCATGGTGCTAAGACCAGCAGCCGCCAAAATCAAACGGTACCATGTGGCCTTCCCGTGCTGTGAGATCCTAGCCTCCCAAAGTTCTTCGAAATAGAGGGCACCGACCCACCTCATTTCCAACATCTTACCTCTTCTTCATCTTCCCGAATAGCAGGTCATTGGCCCAGAGAGATCAATGCGAGGAGTCCGAAGCTCGTAGGGATCTAACCGCTTTGGTAGGTCCCTACTCAGATCCCTGCCGGCATGGGCTCAGCCCTGTCCCATACGCAGGCTACAGCCATCTCACCTAAAAAGAGCGTCGTCTTCCCTCCACAGCCCAGCTCCGCCATTTTCAGGGCACCGCGCTACTGAAAAAAAACACCTGTGATTGCGACCTTGAACGTGGACCAGAAGCTCAGGCGTAAGCGGCATGTGGGTATGGGTCGGCCGCCTCTGCTGTGGGAACGGGACTTTGGTATACTCTAACCAACAGCTTTAGAGTCAGGACCAGGGTCATTGATGAGGGCTGCATTAGGCTATTCTGCTTTCTTGCTAGTGAGATGACGAAGTCCTGGGGCTAATTGTCTTTCGACGACCAAAGTCCCAAAAACATCGACATGGTTGAGATTTTCTTAGAGGTTGTTTCGGGATGCCCTCACGCTCTGTAGCATCCGCGTTGCCGTGGCCCTTGCAAGAAAGTTGCCTGGAGGATCAGCATACACAAACGATGTAAGCTGCGTTTGACGCTTCCGGCGCGTGCCTGGTCAACTTCACCCGACGTATGATATATAAGTCGAGAATGTCGGGCTCTTGCCGAGACAAAAGATCACCACTCCAGTTCCTTCAGCATCACGTCTCTCTCATCCTCTCTTTCCATCTTTCTAATAGTGATTATACCATTCATCGAGCTCGTTACCCCAAAGCACCATCATGAGATTCGAGACAGTCTCCGGGGCCGTGGCCCTTCTCGCCCTGAGCCACTCCGCGGCCGCCGACCCGGTGAACATCAAGCTCCAGAGTCGCCGTACAAACCTCTCAAAGGCGAAGGCTCTCAGTAAGCGCGCGGCCACCGGCTCAGTCTCCTTGACCAACTGGTTCGAGAACTTTGACCTCCAATGGATTGGTGAAGTCGACGTCGGCACCCCGCCCCAAAAGCAGTAAGTCTTGAAACCCACTCGTTGCCGTCTTTCTCAGTCTCCCGGGACATTAGGCGGAGCAGGTAGACTAACACGCTCAACTTTTAGTATCGTCACCTTCGACACTGGCTCAACGGACTTGATCCTTCCCTCAACAGCCTGCACGAACTGCCTCGTCGCCAAAGAATTCAACGCCTCCTCCTCCACAACCTTCTCTCCCCAGCCCGGCTACAACGTCACGACCGCCTTCGGCACAGGCGGCAAGTCCGTCCCCTACGCCGTCCCGCAAGCCGCGTCCGGCACCGTCGTAACCGACGCCGTGACCGTCGGCAATCTCACCGTCGCGAACCAGACCTGGCTTCTCTGCGACACCTACGCCGAGGCCTTCAACGAAATGCCCAACATTGACGGCATCTTCGGCCTCGGACCCCCCGGCTTCTCCCACTTCTCCGCCGAGACAAACGCCTCCTTCTCCACCTGGTTCTGGACCCTCGCGCAGAACGGCGGCGTCCCGGAGCCCCTCTTCTCCTTCTTCCTCAACTCTGGGGAGGGCAGCGCCCCGGGCGAGCTCACGCTCGGCGGCGTGAACAAGGACTACTACGAGGGCGAGATCGCCAATGTCGACTTCAACATGACGGTGTCCTACCTCGGCGGAAGCTGGTTCATCGACCAGCCCGCCTTCTACGTCAACGGCAAGACCGTGTCCAACTCCAACGCCTCGGGCGAAGCGTTCCCCGTTGGCGTCTCCAACGTCGACACCGGCACCGCGTTCCTCCAGACGCCGGACTACCAGACCGCCAAGGATATCTACGCCGCTATCAGCTCCGAAATCACCCAGATCGACGAGCTCGGTGTCTGGGGCGCCCCCTGCGACGTGGTCGAGAAGCTCGACCCGGAGCTGACTTTCACCCTCGGCGTCGGCGACAACCTAGTCAACATGACGGTCCCCAAGGGCGCGTTCAACTTGGGCGAGTATCCCGGCCACAGCGGCATCTGCCAGACCATCTTCCTGAACCCCGTGCAGCCTATTAGCGAACTGGCGTCTATCTGGGTTCTGGGTAGCCCGTTGTTGAAGGGGTACTACACCGTGTGGAACGGTACGAACCCGGAGCAGCTTACCTTTGGTGTCGCGAGTCTGAAGGCGAATGCCACTTCCACGAACGGTACTTCGAGCCCGACGGCTACGCCGACTGCTGTCAGCGGTGGGGGCATCACCCGCCCGGCTGGCGTCTTTGCCGCGGTTGCTTTGGCGATGCTTGCTTTGACTTTTTAGATCAAAATGCGTGTTTAGATGGAATGTAATTGATTGATGTGATGTGTATATACGATGGTAGTGAAATAGAATATTTTAGATGATACACCTCAGAGGGCATCATCTTTGATGAAATCAGCTGCCCGCTCCGCCACCGCATAAACCAGAGACTGGATGTTGGCCCTCGGAATCAAGGGGAAGATACTGGCGTCAACCACCCGCAGCCCCTTGACCCCGTATACCCTGAACCTCTCGTCGACCACACCACCTTTTGACCTAGGCAGCATGGCGCAGGTACCGCAGGGGTGGTACTCACTCTGCATACTGCTCCTGATCCATTCCTCTACGTTATCTATTGTTAGTTCATGGTACCCGGGCTGAAAAACTGTCCCATCACCCTGAAGCAGGTCGCTCAACGGCTGTGTACGTGCGATAGTCTGTAGATGAAGTGCAATGGATTTCAAGAGCTGTGTATCGAGCGGATGGGAGAGGTAGCGTGGATCGATGATGGGGTGAACGGCTGGGTCGGCGGACTGGATGTGGATCGAGCCTCTCGAAAAGGGGTGCTCCAGGACGCCAAGGATGGAGAGGAAGTTGCCTGGTAACCCCGCCGAGAAGAGCTTGGTCGTATCAGCGGAGTACTGGGGCGAAATGCCGCCTTCAATTGTGAGCTCCTGGGCGATTGCTTCAGATTTGAGGTCTCGGAAGGTGATGGCGTATTGTTCGGCCAGGCCGAGGAGGTTGGTCTTCGGCGAGGGTAGAGACAAGTCCAGGATAGAGGCGATCTGCTTTAAGGATAAGAGTGCAGAGCTGGCACCGGCAGAGGACAGACGCCCGGTCTTGTTTTGAAGGTACAGGTCGAGCTGTTCTTGGAAGTAGGTTGCGTTGGCGTAGTCTTCGTTTGTAGGTAGGTTGGGCTTCACCGCAAATCTGGAGCGACGATTAGTCATTATATTGGCCATAATTCCGAATACTTGAGATTTGAAAACTTACCCAAGAGGAACATAGACGTGATCCTGTAAATTCTCGCCGATGTTAGGGTTGTCAACGAATACCTCTATCCCGTGGCTTCCCAGGAGTTTCTTGTCTCCCAAACCAGAGACCTCGAGAAGCTGGGGGGAGGCAATTGAACCAGCGGCGAGGACCACCTCCTTCTTCACGGTCGCTTCTTTCTCCAATCCATTCTGTGACCACTTGACCCCTTTGACCAAGGATCCATCACGAGTCTTATCCAGTACAATCTTGGTCACCAAAGCACCCGTAACCACCTTCAAATTGGCCCGTTGACGTGCCGGACCAAGATAAGCATTCGCAGCGTAGCTTCTCGTGCCCTTGTCGATGTTGAGCAAGTTGACGTAGCCTCCCAAAGCCGCACCATTACGAGGATCGCCGTCGACACCGAGCCCAAGCTTCTCAAGAGTTCGCGGCCAGGCTTTGAGAAAGGGGCTGTAAAGTTGAGGGAACTCATTGGCTATGGGTCCAGTGGTGCCATGGACGCTAGGGTAAACGTAGTCAAGCAAGAGATCGCTTGTCTGCTGGCTCGATGGTGCAACAAACGATTCTGACTTTTCAAAGTAAGGGGCCAATGCCTTCCATGACCAACCGTCATTTCCCAGAGCGCCCCAGTTGTCTATATCTCGCTGGGAAGGGTGCGTCCAGAACATGAAGTTCATGGCGCTGGAGCCGCCCAGTTGCTTTCCGCGGATATGGGCGACGACTTTGTCATTGGCCGATGTCTGGATATGTCAGCTTGCTACGTTCAGTCAGGGTGAGGACCAAACTTAAGGTAGATGGATACCTGGGGCACTGTTTTGTAGTCCCAGTCGTAGTCGGTATTGCCGTACATGGCGGGAAATAGCCCGGGAGCCAAGACGTTGAGGTCGGTAGAGCGATCCGCACCAGCTTCCAAGACGAGGACCGTCACTTGAGGGTTCTCGCTGAGGCGAGCTGCGACCGTCAGTCCAGCGGTGCCTCCGCCAACGATGCTAACACCACGTTAGAATCATACATTTGAGCTTGTTAGACCTCATAACTGTCACTCACATGTAATCATAAGTATCCGCCATGGTAGTCACAGCAAGGCTCATCCAAATGCTTGCCCAGTGAGGACAAAGTTTCGCGCGCATGGTCGGGCTAGAGATGGAGTGGACGAGGCAATGTCTTTGGACGAGAAGACATCAGTGAGTTGGGGGTATGAAGTTATATGCATCCGTTAAACTGCGCCTTAGGAACTACGAACGATTACCCAGCAGAGCTTGCATTTATTGGATAGCTAATTGTGATCATTAATCAACAGCCTTCCATAGCCTCTTTGCCCGCAGATCCATTAGATCCCGAAACCAGCGCCACTTTGCACGAACGCTAGACCAAGACATAGCTGATTCAATGCGTATTACTGCGTCGAATAGCCTAGGTCATGCAATGAAGCCAGGACGATGCAACGCTGGTCATCAAATCTGTATGCACGATGAGTAAGCAAATGTCTTGCGGAACTCCGCAGGCATGGCGAGTTAAAGTGACACCGGTCGGAATTCGAGTATCGGTCCGTCTGCAGGGCGATGGTTGTGTACATATGCACACATGTTGGAAGCCTGCATACTGTCAAGTCCAATTAAGTCGGCTAGGCCAGCTGCATCAAAAGAGGTAGGAGTCGGAAGAACAAAGCCGGACCACCGCAATGTGGCCCCATGGCACCAGTCGGTCCCGCTTGATGGCAAGACACCGTTGTGACCTGTGTCAATGACTTTAAGCATCCGAACACCGCTGTGCTTGAGTTCCCTCCCTCTCATAACCTGATTGATGCGGGCTAATATCGTCAACAGGTAAGAGAAGCGGCAGCAGCACTGAGACTTGGCTTCGGCGAATGCAAAGACTCGCCTGTCAGATGTAATAACTTTTATCATGCAGTCGTGATATGCCTGACACCTAAGTATTATACAGATATCCATTTGATGCCGGTGTTGTGGCATCGTGCCGTCCTTTTGCAACAGCCTACTAGTCTCCTACATGATGATGTACAGGGTATTTCGAATTGTGTCTCCTTCAGCTTATTGCTGGCGCTTCGCGTAATCGGAACCGGGGCCGTACATGATGATGGGTCTTCGGTTGGCCCTTCGGAAAGCCTCCTCGGCAATGGGAGAAGCATCGGAGCGGATGACACTACCGATGGACATGAAGAACCTGCGATGCTCTTAGTCTTCATATGTATAAAGGCCAAACCTGACTTTGCCTACCCGAAAGTTGCTCCTGAACCAAGCATGTATTGTCCCAGTGTTCTCATGATGCCGTTGGGGCCGGCACCGTAGCGCATGATGTTAACGGAGCCTGCGGGGGTAGCTAATTAGTTGATGCGATGCGAGAGAAGGAGGAAGAGTTTGTTACACACCGAAAACGAAGCCCATGACGGATCCAACAGCTATACAATGATCAGCGGCAAGGTAAAAAGGGCTCATGGGCCAGTCTAGACGTACTTCCACCCATGAGGGCACCCATCTTCACTGCGTACAGTTAGCTAGAAGCTCTTGTAAAGGTTGTAAGAGGAGGGTCGTACTCTTGTCGGCGATTCCAGGGCCCATGGCACCGCCATGTTGCGCAGGAACGGGAGGCATTGTGAGAAGAGAATCTGTACAACAGAGAATACCGTGTGTTGGGTATCGGATGGTGAATCGAGCTCCTTGTGGTGCTCAATACCTATTGTATAGTCAGTCGTGCGATGGGAATCGGTGATGTTTGCGACTGTGGGCTGGGAGGAGCTCTTCCAATTTGCTGCACCCAATACAAGTGGCCGAAGGTCAGCCTTTCCGAGCCGGGTGCCACTGGAGCTTTGGACGAATCGAATCTGGGGAACGGCAGTTATTCGGCAAAAAGACTGAAGCGGCTAGCCCCACCTTTCGAGGTTCGAGCCAGCGCGGAGGTTCGAGGGAAAGGAAAGAGCAGCGATGTCACGGTCACCTGGAGCACAGGCCATCTCTCACCTTGAACGCCTTAGACCCGTTTCTGTCAGCCTGGTCTTTTGATTGGCTGTATGACCTTTCTTTGTGAGGCACACACATCTGGCTTTGGAGAATGTCACGTGCCTTGCATCGAGTCTTTGAACAGCACAGGCGACCACCGCAAATGGAATGTGACGGTGGGCAGGTGAGGGTGGATCCCTACGGCTAAGGCAAGAACAGCAGCCAGCTGGACTGGAGGCGATGACAGCACAGTGACCAGACCAGACCGCCTTCACCCGGATGAGCACCAGTTCTTTTTTTCTTGCTTTCTTTCTCTCCTCTTTTTCCTTGTCACTACCACACCTCTTCCCTCTTTCTTTGCTACCTTATGATCTTGTTCATATGAAGATCACATCCTAGCTGGCCCATGGTGGAAAAATCCAGTCAAACACCCAAGCTTTTGGGGGCCTGTGCTCAGCTGAAGTGAACTGAACCCTCACACTGAACAGTAACCGAACCAACTGTGGTGGACTGAGAATTTTCCGGTCCCTCGGTCTCCCACCCGCTGACGCTGAACCTTTGAGGCCCTGCTGTTTTCCGACCGCCCATGTCCCAGACTCCCAAGTCGGCTCCGGCGCGTGTTTCCGAACGCTGTTTGGCCCGCCCACCACAGGCTCTCCCCCAGCGCCAGCGGCCCAGCGCTCACCTCACGCACTTACGCTAAGCGCTTAGCGAGACGGGGCGACACGTTCTGTTCTCTTTGCCCAAATCCTAGATTCAACCTCACCTACCTACCCACGGAGACCACCCGATCCGCCGACGACGCTTCCGCTTGAGCCCATCGTCGACCGTGGTGCTCAAAGAAAACCGTCTCTTTGCCCACGTCCTCGACATTGCTGGTATGTCTCTCCTGCCTGTCTGATCCTTTTTGGCCCGGTTTTCTGCGACCCCCCGTCCCGTCGCAGGCCGTTTCTGGGCCGCGCCAATTGGCTGCCCACCCCTATCCTTGCCGCGACATCATCGCTGACTTATTTTTTCAACCTGCCAGCTCAGCCTCATTGCTTTCTACCCTCCGCAGCGAACTCCCATCGATTCTATCTGACATATCTGCGTTATCTTTCGGCGGCTGATCTTTACGATACCCTCCGGGCTGCAGTGCGAATGGTCAAAGAAGGAGCCCCCGACGTCACCTAGACCAGACCATCCATCAATATCGATACCCTACAAGCTGTCATCACCTACTCGTTCTTGCTACGACTTGCACTGTCCTACGATCCTTACCTGAATCGAACGACGACTTCCCCATGACTGCCGTCGCGAGCCCGCCCAGCTTCCAGCAACTCAATCGACCGGGATGGAATGTTAATGGCGGCCAAAGTCTGAATTCGATGAACCCAGAAGACGTCAGAGGCATGTTCGCCGCGCCTCGGAAGACGCTGCAGCGGAGCAACTCTTCCTCCTCGGTCTCATCTACCTCCTCCAACTCGTCTACTACCACTGTTGCCACCAATGGCTCGCAATCAAATGGCACCCCGGCGTCTACAAACTCTGACATGAGCTGGTCCAGCACCGCCTCGAGAAAGCGACCACAACCCAAAGGACCATGGCCGCCAGGCAAGCCAGAAGGTCAAGCCGAGTTCGGCAGACCTATCATGCGAAACGCCATCAACGGCATCAATGGCGGTTCGTCGCTGCAGACGGCTCCAGGCCAACCGCAAATGATGTCGCAGCAGGGACTCGGGGCAAGGCCCATGGGCGACCCGATGCCTAGCGGGCAGCCTGTGCTCTATCTCTTGTCGCTCAATGGTACCTTTGAACGCAAAACCATCTCGGTACCATTCTACCCAGAAAGCCTCCGTATCGGTCGCCAAACCAATCAGAAGACGATCCCGACTGCCACCAACGGCTACTTTGATAGTAAAGTGCTATCAAGGCAGCATGCTGAGATATGGGCGGATCGCACCGGCAAGATATACATCCGCGACGTCAAATCGTCCAACGGAACCTTTGTCAACGGCACGCGTCTCTCCCAGGAGAATCGCGAATCCGAACCGCACGAGCTACAGACGGGAGATCATTTAGAGTTGGGAATCGACATTGTGAGCGAGGATCAGAAGACCGTCGTCCACCACAAGGTTGCCGCCAAGGTTGAACACGCCGGCTTCATGAGCCCCTCAAGTAACGTTATGGACATGAATTTTGGCGATTTGGACCCCGCAAATGGTGGAATGATGATGCCAGCGCCGAGCCCAATGCCCTACCGTGGCAGGACTGGTAGTAATGCATCGATGGCCAGCAATGGCCGCATGATGGCACCCCAGAATATGGCCGGCATGGCCCCTAATGGTGGAGCAGCCCGTGGATTCTTGTTAACGCCCATTACCACGGAGCATATCGTCAAGAGACTTCACGTGAGTGTCCAAACCCCTAGACCTATTGATTGGAGCTAACTAGGTTGTAGAACGAGATGCGCAATGCTCGATTGCAGTCTCAAGACCTCTCCCGGACGGGCCAATTCGTTCACGCTCTCTTGAGCAAAGACGATGTAAAGGATCTCGAGAAGCCGGAAGCCCCCGAGCCTCCGAAGCAGCTTCCCAATGGCAACGCTCTACCCTTCCGTACCGATGCGAAGACCAGATTTTCCGATCCTCCTGCCCCGCCTCCGCAGCAGCCGCTGCCTGAGAAGCCCGATGTGCCTTCACTGAAACGAGGCACCACTGAGCGACCAAAGACTAATAGCACCACCTCGCCCGTTGGACGGGACAACTTGCATCAGATCATTCAGTTGACCGAAGCTTTGAATAATGCAAAGAAGGAGATGGATACCCAAACGGCCCGTATTAAGGATTTGGAAGACATGCTCCGAAAAGAACGGGAGGCACGCGAGCTTGCCGAGGATATGGCAAAGATCCTTGAGGACAGTGCCTTGAAGGAAACCAATGGCGCGCCCAAGGAACACGATACCGAGATTCTCGAGGAGGCTTTTGAGCCGCCCCGCGATACCGTCGACACCCAGGATATCGAGATGACAGATGCCGAACCGCTCTCCGAGGAGCCTGCTCCAGAGACCGCCGAGGATATTGCTGCACGTTTCCAGGTCAAGCTTGACACAATGATGTCAGAAGTGACGGACCTGAAGCAACAGATGGAGGCATGGAAGAGCAGATGCGAGAAGGCTGAGACGGAGCGCGACG